GTTTAGTTATAATACTTCACAAGATATAGGTAGATATAGGTGTTAAATAGTTTAGACGCAATTAAAAGTACGAAGAAGTCTTTCATCTTTCACCTCTGCGTGTTCTCCATTGTTGTTTGTATAATCACACGCAGCTTTCAATGACTCGCGACAGGGCTGAATACAATGCGAGCTTCTGATTGGCCAACATTATTTTTGTTTGTATAATCACACGCAGCTTTCAATGACTCGCGACAGCGCTGAATACAATGCGAGCTTCTGATTGGCCAACATTATTTTTGTTTGTATAATCACACGCAGCTTTCAATGACTCGCGACAGGGCTGAATGCAATTCAAGCTTCTGATTGGCCAACATTGTCATCCGTTACTATTATATAACAGTCATATAACATTAATTAATTGAAACAATTAGCCTATATTCATTAATAAAATGTTATTTCAATTTACATACACACATCATATCCGTTGTGATTAATACGCATATAACATATCCAATATGATTAATACACGTATATCATATCCAGTATCAGTATACGCAAGTATCATATTTCTTATGATTAATGCACATATCACATCCAATATGATTAATACACACATATCGTATCCTATATGATTAATACAAACATATCATATTATTTATGATTAATACGCACTTACATTTTACATATCTATCAGTTAAGGTTGTACACCTTTTTGTTTTTAAAGCGTACATAAACTGGACTTAGATCAAATATTTGATGAATCATGTAACAATACAAAAATTAGGTCATTACACCTGTCCATAATTGTAAATAATGTGTACAGTGCTGTAAATGTACACAGTATGTAATTATAGCTCCGGTACATGTAAATCTAATCTGTGATAGTGGTGGTCTTCACGTCGTAAACTCCCCTTGAAAAGCTAGTGGTCTACCGTACTACTAAAATACTGTTCATAACTCTAACCTGAAAAATGCTCAACTATGTCACCGTGTGTTAAATTAACAGAATTCAAAGCTTAATATTTTTATTTATAAATATATATTTTTTATAAATTATGTTAACCAAGAATCTATTTTAATGCCACCTTACTGAATCATGATGTTTGGAAATCATATTTCACACATCATCAAATGTCGGCCCATCACAACAAAAAGACGATGAAAATTGTTATAATTTTGTTTTTATTATATTTTTATATTGAAATTGTGCATTAGTCCAATCAAGAGACATTGGATTTAATAAACAAATGTCCTTTAGGTTTAGTATCATACAGCATTTGTTTGAATGTCTTGCAGCCATTGACATCACTCAGCACTCATAATTCAACTCATTACATCTCATATTTGTTACTTGGCATTGATGACATCATTTAATTTGTTGACATTGTGAAATTAAATGATGAAAGAAACTTAAGTTCTACAGTTGTTTTTTCTACTTCCTCAAACATGAGTGTATTAGTTGCAGTGTAGTGTACACATACATGTGTGTCTTAGTTACAGTTTAGGGGACACATCCACGCGTGTCTTAGTTACAGTATAGCTAACACATTCTTGAGAGTTTTAGCTACAATATAAAGGACACATACATATGTCTCTTAGTTACAGTATAGCTAGCACATTCCTGAGTGTTTTAGCTACAATATAAAGGACACATACATATAATGTGTCTTAGTTACAGTATAGCTAGCACATTCCTGAGGGTTTTAGCTACAATATAAAGGACACATACATGTGTGTCATCCAGTATAAAGTATTAGGGCCTCGTACGGGAGTGTGATCATCACACAAGCTAGCTGACTGAGACGGGTATTTGGGTTATCAACACCCAAGCTAGCTGACGTCATTCTGGTGTATCCAAATCTGTCTAAGCATCTTTGAAAATAATTTATTCCCATTCTGAAAAATTCGGTGATTTAAACTCGAATATTTTACATTTGATTGAGTATGGCTCAGTTTCAATTCCAGGTTTGGTGAGTCGTCTGGGGGTAGGCGAAGATTCTCATAAGCAGGTCATCAGCAGTCCTTGCACTATATACATTTCACAAGAGGGGAGTTAAGCCTTCAAATGCCTTAAGAATTCAGTTCAGTCCCCTTTGTGTTGTTTCTTGTTTTGTGCGAGGATCGGGGCACTACACTGTGAATATAATGAAGTTCACCAAAGATGACCGATGAGACGGTAATTTGTGAAATCTAACTATAGCTTAAAGAACATCAGGTGGTTACCACTAAGTCAGTGGGGGAAAGTTGTTAAACAAGACATTCCCAGGTGGAACTAACTGTAAATGTTAAAGGCACATTTTCACTTCCGGTAAGGGTATTTAAAAACTCATTGCGTCTATAAGGACAATGTAGCTTTTGATACTCTTCAGTTCTATGTGTTTTTTTAAAAAAGCAAGTATGACTCTTAGTATTGGCACATCTGTCATGGTATAGCTCACTGAAAAGACAATGGTTTTTTTTTATTCCGCATACCTTTTCTATCATTCTGCACCAGATGTCTATGGGTTCACATGGGACCGCTGTGCCAGATTGGTGGCATTTTACCCATGTCACCTGGCCATAGTCAGTGAAGCACCTACACAGGCCTTCAGTAGTTTTTATTTTCACTACTTATTGGTGTCTTGATCATCACCTTTTCTATCATTCTGCACCAGACGTCTATGGGTCCACATGGGACCGTTGTGCCAGATAGTGAGCTTGGTGGCATTTTTGCCCATGTCACCTGGCCATATTCAGTAAAGCACCTACACAGGCCTTCAGTAGTTTTCATTTTCACTACTTATTGGTGTCTTTGATTATATTTTAATCACCATAAAATCGTTAGCCTTTAACTTCATCAAAACACTACAACAAAAATTGAATTGAACAAATTAAAAAGACCCAACCTAAGATGTGGGGGCTACCCAACTATCAGCACAAACCGCCACATCGGAAATGATTTCTAGTATTATTGAGGTAGTTTTATATAGCGCAGTACCCTGGCCTAGGGCTAGGCTCACTGCAGTACACCAGCCTAGGGCTAGGCTCACTGCAGTACACCAGCCTAGGGCTAGGCTCACTGCAGTACACCAGCCTAGGGCTAGGCTCACTGCAGTACCACAGCCTAGCGCTAGGCTCACTGCAGTACACCAGCCTAGGGCTAGGCTCACTGCAGTACCACAGCCTAGGCCTAGGCTCACTGCAGTACCACAGCCTAGGGCTAGGCTCACTGCTGTATCACAGCCTAGGGCTAGGCTCACTGCAGTACCACAGCCTAGGGCTAGGCTCACTGCAGTACCCCGGCCTAGGGCTAGGCTCACTGCAGTACCACAGCCTAGGGTTAGGCTCACTGCAGTACACCAGCCTAGGGCTAGGCTCATTGCAGTACACCAGCCTAGGGCTAGGCTCACTGCAGTACACCAGCCTTGGGCTAGGCTCATTGCAGTACACCAGCCTAGGGCTAGGCTCACTGCAGTACACCAGCCTAGGGCTAGGCTCACTGCAGTACACCAGCCCAGGGCTAGGCTCACTGCAGTACACCAGCCTAAGGCTAGGCTCACTGCGCTTCACATAAAAATTAGCAATGACAGAAAATTATAAATGTAAAAATAACAATTGGTAAAAAGCTTGACCTCACCCATCCAAGTACTATTGCCCCTGTCTAGCCATGGGGCAGCACCCAGCAGCACTGTTTATCAGTCAAGGGGGGGGGGGTGAGAATGAGTGGGTATTGTACAGTTTTAAGAAATGGGTCTTGGAGGGCAGTTTTGAAGGCTGGGATGGTCGGTGTATTGTGGATGTGTAATGGGAGAGAATTCCATAGTTTGGGGGCACAGAAAGATCGTTCACCATATGTTTTAGTGCGTGTTCTGGGAACAGGAAGAATACGCATGTCTGAGGAGGAACAAAGCTTTCGAAGGGATGAATAGACAGAAAGAAGTTCAGTAAGATAGGAAGGGGAGGACCCAGAAAAAAAGTTGTGACAGAGAAATATAAGGGAAGTTACTCTGTTATTAGAGCCAAATACTATGGCAGCATATTTGAACTGCTGCTGATGCATCCACACGAAATGTATTTGGACTACCACTAGTACCACTCTGGTCATCTGATTAAAGATAGAGAGGGTATCTGGCACTAAGTTGTACAGCGTAGGTATCCCAGTAAATACGTTTTCTATGTCAATGTCATTTGTATGAATAATAATCCACATGTGGGAGAATAGATGTGGTTGGCCATACCTTGTTGAGTCCATGGTAACGAATGGCTTTAAGTTTGAAAAGGCAGCATAGCAATGCAATGACATGATTATTGAACAGCACCAATTGTTACCAGGACAATACATCACAGATGATAGATACGTGATCAAGTGCAATTAAGTGTACAATACAATCACAGCTAATAGATCAGTGTACAATACATCATAGTTGATAAAAGAGTGTACAATACATAACAGCTAACAGATGAGTATACAATAAATCAAAGCTAATAGATGAGTGTACAATACACCAAAGTTGATAAAAGAGTATACAATACATCACATTTGATAAAAAGGGTGTACAATACATTACAGTTGATAGAAAAGTGTACAATACATCACAGTTGATAGATAAGTGTACAATATATCACAGTTGATAAGAGTGTACACTCCATCACAGTTGATAAAACAGTATACAATACATCACATTTGATAAAAAGGGTGTACAATGCATCACAATTGATAGAAGAGTGTACAATACATCAGAGTTGATAGATGAGTGTACATTACATCCCAGTTGATAAGTGTAAAATACATCACAGCTGATAGATTAGTGTACAATACAACACAGTTGATAAAAGAGTATACAATACATCACAGTTGATAAAAGAGTGTACAATACATCAAAGTCAATAGATGAGTGTACAATACATCACAGCTGATAGATGAGTGCACAATACATCACAGTTGATAAAAGAGTGTACAATACATCAAAGTCAATAGATGAGTGTACAATACATCACAGCTGATAGATGAGTGCACAATACATCAAAGTTGGTAAAAGAGTGTACAATACATCAAAGTCAATAGATGAGTGTACAATACATCACAGCTGATAGATGAGTGTAGATTAAAGTTAACAGACAACTGTACAATACATCACAGTTGACAGATTAGAGTGAGACCATGATAGGTCATGTTGCAATTATTTAATCTGTTATTTACAAGAACAATAATGTTGACATCAAAGCAATTTTAACTGGGTTTAATAAGTCATAATAACTGATCATCATAATTTTATTTGGCTCTGTACATCAATGAAATGTGCGCATACAACAGAAACATTTCTCTTGGCTCTGTACATCAATCCAATGTGCACGTACAACAGAAACATTTCTCTGTTAAAAATTTCATCACTTGTAAAACATAAAAATAATTCGCAAGGCATGTGCCTTGTCACTCAAATAGTCCAGCAGCACAGTAGCCCTTCACTCGGCTCTAATGTAAACATTGTCAATGACTTTATAGACATATTAAATATAATTTCTATGGGTAGTGAAATATTGTTAGTGAGAATATGCTGTCTAACTCCTATTGATATCTTTGTACTTAAGATTTGCTGGTAATATACATTTAAAAACACACAAAAAACATAATTTGAATTGTCTGTTGAAATAAAATAGTGTCCTATTTAGGTCCTGCCACCAAGATATGTTTGAATGTAGATTGCATATTTGAACAATAGACTTTTTAAGGACCAACTCTGAACAATGCCACAATCGCCTCATAGTCAAGAAACTGTCACCCACCTTTCTGATGAAACAAAACAAAACAATTATATTTTACCATATTTTCACATCAGCCAACAGTATTTACAGCATGTGAAACAGTCACAGATAAATTGGAGCATCAATGAAGGTTAACGTGAGTTAGATCAGTGGTAGGCTCAGGAGGAGTCTTGCTCCTATGCAAATGAGCAACATAAGAATGAAGGGCAAAGAAATATTTAAAAAAACACCCAATATCCACAACTGGCCCAACTCATCAAATTCCTACACACAATGTCTTCATGCTAAATGAGACCCCAATAATATCATAGCAGCAACCAAGTGAAGTCCCTCAAAAGTACCCCCAAAAAAAAAACCCAATACAACAAATGACAAGTGGTGAAGTGAGTTAACCTCGTACTCTCGAGATGAAATAATATGTGATGATAAACAAAAGAACCAGTCCAAGGACGATGTAGCACATGAGTTTGCGATTGTTTTTACCAGAGCCGACCATGTTTGACAGTCGATGCATGCTGCCGGTGAGTAAACCTTCAGAGCTGCTGAAGTCTCCACCCTGGATTACAAAAAATGAAAATATTAATTAAGTTAGACTATTATAACTTGTAACAATGAAGTCGTTATCAAGACCAGACATGTGAAGAAAGTATTTGATGTGATTGTAAACATAATTTATGTTGGAAATACGAGCATCAATGCCATTAATGACTTCCTTAAAGCTGCTCCAGGTTCTAATACATATGAAATTGAAGATTCCAGTTACGGCAAAATTAATTAAACATTTTTCAAAACAGCTTTTATATTTTGATTAGTGATAGTACCCCGGTACACAGATAGTTAAACATTTTCAAGTCAAGACCACATTTATATAGAAGCAAAGTGATCCTTACCATTATGATATATTGAAAAAAAAAGACTTTTAATTAGGATAATCAAAACATATAACTATATGTTTTTTTTAGCATTATAATTAACACTATTTTTAATGTGATGATTTAAATTTTAAATCAAACTTTGAGACACCAATTAAAAAATGAATTATTGAAAAAAAAAAAATCACAATTTCTTAGTGTACTGTTTCAGCCATCACCTCACAGCAACACCAATTGTGGTCTTGTCCCATGGGCTGAGATCTTGTGCATAGTAACATATTATACATGCTGATAATATGCTTAACTACCTTTTTATTTATGTAGTGGATTTTTTTCTCCCAAAAAACCTAGTAAAAGATATACATATATTGATATATGTTTTTTATTTTTTTATTTGTTATTTGATTTGAAAGGAGCACCTTGTTACAAATTGTTAGAAATATTGGCTTGCAAACTGTTAGAATTTTAACTAGAATTTGATACCTGTAAAGAATGCAAAGCTCATAGAAAGTGCAAAGGTTTTTTCTATAGGCTGTCATATCCGAATTTCGCTTAACAAGTATATTATTAGCTAGTTATATTTTACTAGGGCTAGGCAGGGGAAAATGTAACAACTAGTAACAAGTGACCAACCTCCCAAGAAATTTTCATTCATAAACAGACAAAAGCTATTAAGCAACTATGAAAAAACAAACTCTTGTAATGTTTATTTCAGTTTATAATATATTTTTAAGTAAATTAATTTCATGACCGGATTTTGCTGGATGGTGAAAAATACTTTTACTATTCTGTTTGCCCGAGATATGCAAAACCCCAAGAAATGAGTAACCCTGGTCATAGTATTCTATTTTATCATAGAAAATATAGATTATTAAAAAATGAATGTAATGTACTGTTAAATGGCATTCTCAGTCTGGGAAAGAATTTATAAAGCACTTCAACAAAAGTTACAGCTGGCCAAATTATGGCTTATTTACTTACCATAGAATCTAGATATCGATTGGAGTCTTTGGTCTCTAGTTCTATATCTAGGGCTATCTGAAGAGAAAAATTATAATAATTTATTTTCAATTAATACATACTGATGCGGGTAACCAACTCCACCACAGTTTGCCCCATCCTGTAAGAGTCTTCTGCTAAGGAAACAAAAACAAAGGAAAATACAGACACAAATTGCACCAGAAATGAAGCATGCCAGTATACTGGACTTATGAAGAATGGAGACCAAAGTCACAAAGATGTTTCCAACCAGAGTCAATGTATGAAGCCAAAAATCATGTGTCAGCAGTGGATTTTGGAACCCCACACACTGTATCAGACAGAAAGATGGGCACAAAAGTAACACACTGAAACTCATGGTGGTAACAGAACCAATATGGAGTAGAAGTATATGGCATCCTTCCGTCTTCATGATGGGAAGGCACCAAGGATTGACGGCATTCCAATGGAAGTCCTCAAAAAAGGAAAACCTATTCTACTTCAGCCCTTACATGAGCTCCTCTGTCTGTGTTGAGAAACAGGTCACATTCCCCAGGAGTAGAAGTGCAAAGCAAAATAAAGAATTCAGAATTTCATTTATCTGGTCAGTGGTCAGGAAGATATGACATATCAATCACCAGGAAGCAGTGGTGCTCATCAGCAACAATTAATCAAATACAATCCTACAACAGAATCAGTAAGCAATCATTACTCTGTGCTGGGAGGCATGCCCAGTTTATAAAAATTTTCTTTTAAAGATAAATATTCACCAACAGAAGAGGCAGACATTGAAAAGAATGACATCTTCTACAACTGTTTTTACAAGTCATGTTTGAACTCATCCTAAGACATGACATCCCCCCACCCAATCACTTTCTTTAGTCATGTTCTAGAAAGCCGAGTTGAAGATCCCTGACATAAACTATCCACTTACCCCTTTTAATAAAGATACTTTATCGGCTAGCCCAGTCACCCGGCGTTGATTTTCAGAATCTAGCATCTCTTCTGAAGTTAGGGATGCTGGAATTTTAAACAATAATTTATCAACACTGATGACAGTGATATTGGGAAATTTTGTATGTTACACACACGTTTTTATTTTTAAATGTTTAACTACAATAATGTATCAACTCAATCACATTTAAATATTTACGCGAAAAAGCAAAGATATTTACTAATTATTAGAACTTTTAACATTTTTCTTTGACGCAATCACAGTATTCGGAAACAAATCTGCTAGCGACACAAGGAATTGAAGACACTGTAATGCTGTTTGTACTTCTAAAATCATTTCTCTCAGGACTTTCAGTTCTTCTTCTTCTATATATTAAGGGCCCATGATCAATTTATTGATCATTTTGGCTCCTATGCATCTAGAGGGGATTTGCAATGTTTCTGTGCCTGGTGTTGATGAGGACATTTCACTGATTTCCAGTGCCACTTAGTGAGGGAATTATGCGCTGGGGGTTTGAAGGCTTGAGGCAATATAAGACACAAATGAGTCTAGTGTTGTCGCCTCAACTGTTCCTTTCGAAAGCTTGTTCCAGTCCTTGATTGTCTTGGGCAGGAATGAGCAGCTCCTATACTGGCTTCTTGCTGGTATGAGCCGGAATAGCCTGTCTTGGCCTCGTCGCTGTCTATGGGGGAGAGGGACGAGTTTCTGTTAAATTTTAAAGCAGTGGACCAGGCCATTCTTTATCTTGTACATTATGGAGAGTCTGGATAGTTGTCGTCGTTCCTTCAATGGTGACAAGCCTAGTTTTCCAGCATGCTGCCAACACTAGAGGTATTCCTGTAGCGGTTTAGGACAAAACGTTCTTCTAGTAAGTATGAACCATCTACATCATGTGAATCTCCAATTCTCAATATAGTATTTGCTTAAATTATCCAGAGTTATGATACTGATTTGCTGAATATCATATAGAAAGTTAAAAATATCAACATACAGTTGCAGTTGATGGAAACATGTCTAAGGAAATCAATGTCTGGTCTACTAACCACAAGAAACATTCCATCCTGAAAGATTGTTCGGGCTTATTTCATGTCTCACTGCAAGATTCATATTCAATCAAACTGCCTTTTTCTGCACCTACTGCAGCATTCTTAAACTTAAACAAAAGTTCGATGTTTGTTTCTGAGATGATCTTCTTTGCTGATGCTGAGTAAACTATTCTCTTTTTTTTCGTATTAATATGCTGATGGAATGTTTTCTTATTGATGGCTTTTTTAAATTAATATTTCATAGGGTGGTTAATTATAATAATATTTCAAATCAAAACAAGGCCATTTTGACTGGGTCATCATTTTATCATTATCATTTTGTAAAATGGATTTTTGACTTTTCTGACATCTTTTGGATTTATAAAGTGAGTAAAATTGTATTTGATGATGCTGTAAGTTGGGTTTTCATTATTTTGAATATTTGATTTTGGATAATGCGAAGAGATAGCACTGTGACGTCATTTGCGTGTTTTGTTAAGTTGCTTTTTTGGATTCACTCTCTTTATTTTTTTGTTAACAAGAGTTACATTTTCATTAATATGACAATGGCACATTTTAATTAAATTTTTATTTGGTTGATTAATTATAATTTTAAATTAAAATCCATGGCTTTCCGTCTCCATGCTCGAACCCCCAACTGGTGTAAATCTGTCTCCACATCATCAATCCACCTCATCCTTTGGCAAACGGTGAGTCGTCTGCCCCTTGGCTTCTGCCTGTATATAATTTTGGCTGCTCCGCATTCCGGCATCCTTTCAACATGACCTGCCCAGCGTATTCTGCCTCTTTTTATCATTGTGACTATGGGTGGTTCTTTGTACAGATAGTAAAGCTCTTACTCTTGGTTTGTGCATATTCTCCAGATATCATTTTCTATCACTGGTCCATAAATTTTGCGGAGGATTTTCCTCTCCCATGTGTTGAGCAGGTTCTCTGCTTTTCTGGTGAGGGTCCAGGTGTAAGTGCAACACTCAATCACAAACTCATGGTTTAATTTAAGTTTAAGGTTCATCACGGTAGTTCATAGTCATAGATTTAACATTTGAAGATTTATGCTCAAGTTGGGGGATACTGCCTTAGGCCTTAGCTTAGCATTCAGGTTCAGTAGCGTTTGTAAATTATAATTATCGATTTCAAGGATTTTACTACTTTTAGCGGAAAATTAATTAATTGACTTTATATTAATTTTCCCCCTTTAAATATTTTTGAACTTCAAGCAAGCTTTTTCATTGCTCCCACCCCTTTTTCCTACACCAGTACAATTCCTGGTAATCTACCACTTCAGCGTCGGCCAAGAAAAAATCCAGTTGTTCCGTTTGGAAGGGCTATTTAAACAACTATTCTTACTTTGGAGTCTGTTAATATTTTTCTTTCTGTATAGAGGCTATAAAGTTATATAGCACAATACTAATACATTTAAATAATTATTACTGCCAAGCTACCGATATGCCAGGAAGAAAAAGAGACTACAATTTTTTTTTTTTAACCCAGATAACGCGGATGTCCACACACAGATTGTGGAAAACGTGAATGCTCACAAGATGCGCCGGTGATCTTTCCCCTTCATATTTACGTGGATTCATGTACCACAACCATTTTCGTGAAAATTATATTTTTTTAAACTTCATTGTCAATTTGGGGGAGAACTATGCATGATTCCATGTTCACACATTATCTTCTATTTTAAAAAAAATGTCTATTATTATGGGAATGAATACAATTTAATACATACAACCAATGTCATTAAAAATAATATAAGAATAGTTGTTTAAATAGCCCTTCAAACAGGAACAGCTGGATTTTTTCTTGGCCGACGCTCAAGTGGTAGATTACCCAATTCCTAACTGATACAGACACAAAATGAAGTGATTAATTTATTATTATTTAAGACTATTTAGTTTAGATTACAAAAAAAATTAACAACTCTTGAGTCTTGCAAATCGTGGATTTTATCCTTCTGCAAAGAGAACTCTTGAGCCTTACAATTTTGCGGGGGTTTTTAAATGCTTTAAATTTATTTTTGAAAAATAGAAAAAGGTAACTAAAAATTATTTATGTCGCTACCTCCGTTCCGCGATTTACTTCGCCAGTCTGCCATGTTGACAATATTGTGTTGGTAGGTAACTTGAAAAAAGTGAATTTAATTAAATGGAAAATAATTTTAAAAACATGGAACAAAACAAAACGGAATAATACAGTATTTTAATTATATTTTCAAATATATCCTATTTCTCTATTTTGAATTGTAATGTTTTAAATTCAACTTAAGATATTTATCAATACAATAATATTTTAATGAATTTGGGAGATAACATTTACGGATCTGCTGCTTATCTCAGTAGGCTGGCTGAGAGTCTGAGACTCACTTTCCGGTGACAACCTGGGACCTGGTGACGTACGACGCATAAAATGCGCATATAATATTATTATATTATATTCGTTAAATGTAGTACATAAATACTCCCCGGGGCTCCGTTTGACAAGTCTGTGGTGGCTTGTCGATTAGGAGGCGTCGGCCACCGACCCCCTCGACGTTACCCGGGGAACACAACTACTGGGCGTGTCCTGCGTGGGCAGACAAGGGATGTGCTGGGTACCTGCCGTACATAAAACAGCTCCTACAGTGCTGCCAGTTGTGATACTTTCCAACTGGAAGACTAGGCAGGGACAGGGTGGGGATCATCATTACAAGTTGCCATTAATGGATATGAGGCGAGAGGCGAGGCTGGTAAACCTCTGGCCGATGATTCTTACTATGCAGCCCTGAGAAGCTGCTCCAAGGCAACCGTTTCGTCCCAGCTACATCGCGAATTAGTTGCGTTGTGGAAACCCACTGTGGCATCCCTCTGATAGGGCGTCGAAAGCTTCCCTGGGATGGGTGAGGGAAGGTATTAGGACGTAAATTTTTCCATGCCGACTCCTGAGAAAGTCGATCGTGTGCACTGTGTGCAAACACAGTGTCGGACCGACCGGGTGTCTTTGGGTTAGGACGGCCCCCCAGCGGAGACCCTGGTCGAGCAGACTCGGGTGGGGGCTGTCCTGACAAAGGGACATCCCCGACGTGCCGCTCTGCGGCCCGTTACCGGGTTGGGGAGGGGTGTTTTGGGGAGGTCATAAAGAGTGCAAGCTCGACGTCCCCCTGACGCCATTTCTTAACGTAATATATATATTTCAGTACATAAACAGGAATGACTACACATGTAAATAAAACTGTAATCAGACAAGTTAAAATATATGCAAGTGAAACGTGGAACCTAACAAAAAAGTCATAAAACCTATTGATGTGTAAAATATCTACAGCAGATGGGAATCCAACCAGGGAAAAGAACAGCCTCAGTTAGGTTCTGAGTGGAAGGAGGTGGTGAGGCAGGCCAAAGCCCTACATCGGCTGTAGCGCCACAATGATTGATGGATCAGTTGTTTTTTTAACGAAGGTGCCCATACCCGCTGGGGTGCAGGAGGGAGTGCAGGAGGTAGTGCGAGGGAGTGCAGGAGGTAGTGCGAGGGAGTGCAGTAGGTAGTGCGAGGGGGTGCAGGACGTAGTGCAGGAGGTAGTGAAGGAGGTAGTGCAGAAGGTAGTGCAGGAGGTAGTGCAGGAGGGAGAGCAGGAGGTAGTGAGAGGGAGTGCAAGAGGTAGTGCATGAGGGAGTGAAAGGAGGTAGTGCAGGTGGTAGTGTAGCAGGTATTGCTGGAGGTAGTG